GGGCGGCGTGCGGCATACGCGCACGCGCCAATCACAGATGCTTCGAGAGGGGTGCGCTCGGAAAGGCCGGGAGGCGAAGAGGCGGACCGGATGCCGCGTGTATCCAGTCACCGTGCCGCGCTGCCCTGACGTGAGTGTCTCCCGGACGCTGAGCGCCAGTCGTCGGGCCCAGCGGGTGAGAGCGCCGGGTTAGGGCGCGGGGGCGCGCGGGGACGCGCGGGGGCGGGACTTCCGCAGGGCCCCCGGAAGTGGGAGCTGTGTGTTCTCATGCGAACGGGAAGGAGCGTTGGGGAAACAGCGTCTCGAAATCGAGACATTTTTGGCTCGCAAAGGGAAGAATCCACCGCCGCCGCCACCAGCCCGCGACCGCCCTTCTTACCAGCCTTCAGCCCGGCCCGGCCGCGCCGCCTCTTCCTGCCGTCTCCCTCCTGGGCCGTCCCCGCGTGTTGCGCGGTCGCCGGGCACCGGGGCTGCGGCGAGGAGCCCGCGGGCGGCCGGTCGGGCGGGGCGGTAGGCGCTGACAGGTGAGCGGGCCTTCTTTGGCCACTGGTAGGGCGGCTTCCTTCCCCGGCCCGTTCTCAGACCCGCGCCCGCGCTGGCCTGTCACCGGGCCGCCATCTTCCTGGAGGGACGCGGCCCGAGGCTGGCAGGGTAGGGCCGGACCAGGCCTGGCCTGCCTGGCGAAGACCAAGGCCGGGGTGGGACCGTGCAGGGCTTGAGGAACATTGAAGCTGGGGTCGGGGTCTGGGAGAACCGAGCAGGACCGGGATTGGGGAGGACCAGCGGGACTTGGGTTGGGGTCAGGCAGGGCCTGGGCAGACCGAGTAAGGCCAGGCTGGGCCGGGAAGGACCTGCGGGCCGCAGTTGGACAGGACCGGCACGGCAGGAGCTGGCAGGGCTGTGGCGAAGTCGAGCGGGTCCAGGGTCGCCCACGAGGCCTTGTTCCCCCGTCCCCGCCAGTTGGAGGGTGTAGCACGAAGAGGATGCGCCGGGGTCGCTGGCCGCGAGCGCCCCAGGCCAGCCAGCGCCGGGACCCGCAGTGCGGCTCCGGGCCTCGCCCCCCTGGTCCCTCCAGCGCGGAGCCGCGCGGCTGTTCACGGAGGGATGGGTCAATGGAGAATTGCATTCCTTTAGAACCAGGAAGTTGAGATCTTGTTGCTCGAGTGTGTTTGGAATGCCACCTTTTTCCACTTGATAGACTTGAGCAGGACAAGATTCTCTAGGAGTTAAAAACAAAAGTTAAACGTGATAATTCTTTAGGTTTGTCCTGGACTGTAGGTACCTTTTAACTATCTGCTTCTCAATAACACGTTCAGCCGGGACGTTAAGCATTATTGAGAATTCATGTCATTTTGTATTGCAACTTTTAGTGAATATAATCTTGCTTTCCCCTTCGTTTTTATGAAAAACTTTCTTGAATTTTGGCCGAGATAGAATTTGAGAAAATTATCTGTAGAAAATTGTCTCTTATTTGGCTTTCATTTGATCCGTTGTATCTGCAAAATACCTTAATCGTAAGTTGAGAGGTTGAAGTTTTTCGTAACTAAATAAATGGCTCTGCAATGGAGTTTGTAAGTATAAACATTAAGTGTGAGGATTTTTTTTATAGAGGTAATATCCACTTGAAGATGAACCTTCTAAGTGAATGTACAAGTCATGTTCACTTTAGAGTTTTTTTTTCTTTGGGGATATTTAGCTATTCTCTTATTTTCAGCTATGTTGGATTTTTAAAATCTACTTGAAATTTGTGCCAGGTTTGAGAAGACCACAGGAGAGAGAAGAATGATGGTCATTTTTTTAGTGGTCAGCTAGTATATATAATATGCAATTTCCATACTTCCCTAACCTGCCTGACTCCCTTAATTTACAGTCAGGGCAGTTTACAGAAGTTGAAATGGTTGTGGCTTTTTCTCTGTGTTTAATATACCGAAAGGCAATTTTGTAATCAAGCTGTACAAGAAATGGTTTACAAGCTGTACAAGAAATAGCTTATGGAGGTTTGCTTGAGTTTCTCAAGTGAAATACTTTCTGAAAGACATCAGATTAACAAGTTTATTCAACCATAAATTTGCTTTGTATACTTCTCTTTGAAACTTCTCTTGGTTAAAAGTAAATTTCATCCTGTATTTTGAAGTATTAATATGACTTGAGTTGACATTTACATGAGTAAAAATGGCCTGGCTTCTTACTCATTGGAAGTTGTCCTCATGGTGCTTGAGTTTCTCATCTGTAAAAGAAGGCTCATAATAATAGTTTTATGGGACTGTTGTAATGCAAACATGTAGATATTGGCTAGGGTTTTGGGGGGATATTTTTATTATTCAATTCCTATTTTTAATGTACTGTTTTGTAGCTCTCAACTTTAATAAATTTTCAGGGATTTTTTTTTTCTCTTGATATCATCCATCTGAGCAGAGAAGAAAGGTTCTGAGGAAAAATAAATTTGAAGAAAGGAGTTACTGACCTCTACATTTAAGTAGGAGCCAGGGAGAAAATAGATGACAAATACAGAAGTTTCCTAGCATTCCTTTTACCATGTTCTCTAGAAGAGTACCTGGAATTAAGCAGCAGCAAATTCTGGAAGAAATTTGATTTAATGTTTTGTGGGATTGACCTTTTTAAAAAATGAGATTTTTAAAAAAATGAGATTTAGAAAATTTATTGAAAATCATGTGATTACCATAAATATGTGCAAAACTTGACAAATAGGTAAACTCAGAGGAGACAAATATTTTACTTAGTCTCTTGTTTCCTCTGTCTCTGCCTCTTTCTTTCTTTGGTACTGGGAATTGAACACTGAGACTTTGGGCTGAGCAGTTCCCAGTTCCCTGCTCCCTTTTATGAGTTCCCTGCTCCCCTTTATTTTCTGACAGGATCTTCCTAAGTCCCTAAATTGTCTGGCTTGGGCCCAAACTTGTGATCTTCCTGCCTCTTCCTCCCAAGGTGGTGAGATTACAGGCCTGAGATGCCAGGATTTGGCTAGTCACTTTTTTTTTTTAAAGCAGACCTCACATATCCTAAAACAATTTTAAAGTACAAGTGGGAACATCAAGTTGTTAATGGTAATTACAATCAATGGTGCTTTGAGGTAGCTGCAACTACTTGGACATAGATTTGCAACAGTATTTACACATTTTTGTAGTGATGACTTGATCAGTTCTGGTTACCAATTTAGAAATGGCTGAAAAACTTTCACTGTTAAAGTCACGTTGACATTCATACTTTACATCAAATTATGAACTATGATTATACTCTGAGTCTTCTAGTTTTAGTAAGGTGTTAGCTTTGTGATGTTCTCTTGAGGTTGGAAAAATGCTGTGTAGGTACATGTTACCTTAAGTTGCATTTGTTCTTACCCTAGAGTTAAAAGTACACTTTTTAATTATGCTTTTATAACATGCTACACCCTTGTAGATTTCCTCAGATTTAAAGACATTCTTTTCAGATTGTTAAAGAATATGTATATTTTTGTAGTTTATAAAACCATCAAACCTTTTTATAATGTGTAGAAGGAAACATGAATAATGAAATTGTATTTGGAGAAAATATAGTGTTAAAAACTGATACCATTAAGGCTGGGGATTTAGCTCAGTGGCATCGTGCCTGCCTGGAAAGAGCAAGGTCCTGAGTTTGATCCCCAGTACAAAATAACAACAAAAAACTGATACCACTGCAGGCATTTGCTTGTACCTTTTTTTTGTTTTTTAAAGGACTTTCTTATGAAGAGCTCTTTTTCTGTGACTTAATTTTAGAGAATGTAATAAATAAGGCATTATGTTCTGAGAGGTTAAACTCACCAGACCTGAGTTTGGTTAAGTTGGTAAAAGTCCCCTACCCCCAATTCTTGGGGTTGAACCCAAGGCCTTTGCCCTGAGCTACATCCCCAGCCATTTTTTATGGGTCTCACTAAGTTTTCTAGGCTGGACTTCTTCCTGCATCAACCTTTCAAAGTGCTGGGGTTACATGTGTGTGCCACCACCCTCAGCTAAACTTTTTGCTCTTAATTGTTAGGCTTATAAATATCTTTGGAGCTGCTGTATTTCAGAAGTTATCTTAAGTCTTGATTAGAAAATGAATTTTCTTACTAGGATATGAAATTGGAAAGGTAGGAAGCTTTAGAAAGATTTCTCTTAGGAAGACAAGGAATTTCCCTCTGATGTTCTAATGCTTTATTTTTCCTGTAAGTAAATGTCTTCAATAGGAATAGGAAAAATTATTAGCTCAGCTATCTGTTTGCTTCTGTTCCCTTCCTCACCCCCCTTGCCTCATACTTTTTGTCCCTTGGTGCTTTTATACATTGATTTTCACCGTTTTTCTGTTGAAGCTGTCATGACTCCTATTTTAATCATGAAGGGTTTGCAGTTGAGTGATGCTGCTGATTTTACATCTTCTTTCATAGTCTTGTTCTTTCTTTCCTGGCAGTTTGTGAGATTTGGGCCATAGACTATATTATAATCTTGAAAATATTTCATACTTAACATCAATTTGAAAGCATGTACAGTATCTTAATTTTAAGGGGAGTTTAATACTCATTAATATAAGACTTAGTCTTCAATGAAAATGTTCTTTTTTATGTCTAGTGTGCTTAAGTTTTGGCTAAAACATGATATATTAGGGTGGTAATTTTTTCCTGATCAAAATAAAATATTCTTATTTGCACAAATCATTTTAGTCTTATTATAGTCAGAGATTGCTTTAAGGGGACATACTTATTGCTTGGCTCCTTTTAGAAACTCATCAAGACTGTCCCAGGTTCCTAAGCATAGCATATCTCTCCCTTTGTGACCATGCCGGCTCAACGTTTTCCTTCATTCCTTGTCCCACCTTTCAGGTTGGACCACTGCTTCCCTCTCCTCTGTATTGCCTTCCCCACCCCCGACATAGTACTGCAAAC